AGACTCGAGATTTCCATCAGGACGCTGCAGTGAAGCAGCTTCCTTCAGCTCAGCTCTGATTGTTTTCCTGCTGGATCACATTTCCTCTCAGGATTTAAAACAGATTTTCCTCCAGCCCCTGTTTCCTCTGGCTGCTCCGGTTTGTTTTCCTCTCAGAACACAAACGTTTAAATCACTTCATCAAAGCCGGCCTCAGTTTCTCTTTTGGCTCGTGAGGAGCAAACTCTTTCATTAACGACTGTTAAACAGTTTTCTCTACACTTACACTGACAACTTTGTTTTTTCTGCTTCAGAAACAACTTTCTGATGAGGAGCTTCCTCCTGACAACACCAGCCATCAATCACCTCCTGAGGTCTAATGTTCAGCTGGAGCCTTTGGGTCCTGGCTTTCATCTGTAAGTACCACCCTGCTGAACACTGCTGCAAACCAACAGTAACTGCTGATGGCAGCAGCCTCGGCCAGCAGAGCAGTGGGACCCAGCGTCAGCTCCAGTACAAACCCCGCCTTCCTCCACGCTGATGCTCGTGGTAAAAAATGAAAACAGTCGGTTATGAAACCTGCTGAAGCGTGGGCTGGTTCTCACATGGGACCGAGGTAGAACATGTCCCACAACATGTGGAAAACGTGAAAGAGTGCAGATCCCAGCCGGATCGAAGTCTGTTCCCCACGACCCAAACCCCCCAAACCCCCACAGCCACGGCTCAGAGCTGATTTAAAGAGACCTGCACAATATCAGGACGACGTTTTCAGTGTTGGACCTGACTGTCACACTGTTCAATCAAAATTAAGTTAAAAACCTTCTAAATGAAAGTTATTGGAGTATTTTTCCTGTACCTGGTGTTTATGTGAGTTTTATATTGTTTCTGTCTTTTCTCTGTTTTCACATCAATGTATGAAGTTAATATTTAGCACAGACAGATGGACGTACTGCGGTACAGAGACTGTATCCTGGTCCAAAGTCGAAGCGGCACTGTTGGTCCATGGAGTACTGGAAGCCCGGCAGCTGAGGCTGAGCCGGCCAGTTGTGGTTGAACGGGTCGTCACGGAGACAGTCGTACGTGCTGCAGGCGCACAAACCGAGCTCAGTGCATCAGGTTAAGACTATTTCTGCTTTGTACATCAGCAACACAGACGTAGTAGTATTCACAGTACTCACTGCAGGTACTTGTGCAGCTCCCTCCAGCTGCACCTCGACCAGTGGTAACGGTGGAAGGTGGCCTGAACCTGCGGAGACATGATGCTGCCCAAAGGCACGTCGTCACTGCAGTCATTCGCCTCGCCGTCGTGTTGCATACCCAATCTGCATGGACGGAGAGAGACAGAGACTGAAGACAAACAGCGGGACGCTCACTGCAGTCAGTAACTGCTGAATGTTGCACAACGGCGTCTCTCCACACAGACGCCTGAGCACGGCGTGTGTTTCTGAAAACACAACACAGTGAACACGGAAACTCTCTCTGGTTTCCAGAAATGAGAACGTGCGTCACGTTCGTGCGTGTTCGTGCGTCACGTTCGTGCGTGTTCGTGCGTCACGTTCGTGCGTCGTGTTCGTGCGTCGTGTTCGTGCGTCGTGTTCGTGCGTGTTCGTGCGTCACGTTCGTGCGTCACGTTCGTGCGTCACGTT